GAACCCCTAGTAATAACATTATATTATTATTCTTTTGGGAAACAATGACAACCTTTGGATTTGCTTCATGCAGATTGGATGGCTGTTGGTTCTGATATCATTGCCACAATGTTATCATTGATAGTGGTACTGTATGTATGATCACTATGATGTATGGTGGTCAACATACCACATGTTATGTATACACTTGTAAAATATATATATATTTAACCTGTAAGCTGTATGGTGAGTATGTAAACATTGGATTGGAGGAACTACTGAACTATACTGGAATGGTACATGGACACGAATTTTTAACGACATGTGTTTTTTACATGCATGCACATGCAATGCATGTTGACTAGTATTTATATCTATATATATACATAGTAAGGCCGGTCAGGATTTTGTTGCAGCTGGTCAGATTTCCTTTTAGAGTGACATTCAGCACGCTCTACAAGGTCAAAAACGTGTCAATTAACAGTTATGAATCGATTACATTAATATACCTTTCCACCCTCCATTTCTGCTGGAGTTTGAGTCGTGACACTTCTACGAAACTCTAACATTGTGACGTCCCTAAACTCTGGTGGGCCGTCTCTGCTGCATACTTTATCTGTAACAAAATATTCTGTAAATATAATATATAGCTACAAAATTTCTGCTTCACCTTCGCCTAGAATCGCCATCATTTTCACCATCTCCCGTTTGCACGATTCTTACCACTCCTTATAGTCAGCTTCAAGGATGGCTACTCTATCTGCAGTATCTATAAAAAATCTCAGTCACGCAGTGTCAGCTATAATTCGACACTTGCCATCAGCCATCACCGTGATTGCCGATCCGATACTCGAAACTGAGCTTTTTGCTATCTTTTAAACTACGGCTTAAAAATTTCGGCTGTGGGAGATAGCCTAGACGTTTGTGTAACATGGCTAAAATCAATCATGCAGTGGTAAAAAAAAAAAGTAGATCCTGTCAGCAGCGTCGTGTCCGAAAGGGCAGAAACCCTATACAGTTACAATAATAATTAAATAATCGTTATGGTACATGTTTCATGTCTGCCATATAAACATTACGTTACATCCACGGCCTGCATGCAGCTATATAAGTATGCATGTAGTAGATTATGAGGCTCCATATAAACCACAGACAGCATTAAAACAATTGGGTGTTAACGGTTATACAGCCGCTGTTATTTGCTAGGTTGTCAAATAGACTTAAACACTACCCTACACAATGCGCAATGATGCGTTTAGTAAAATTGCCCAGGTTTTATAACAACACTTAGAACCATTTTTGTTTTAGACTGGCAGAACAATATTAAATAATAATAATAAAGAATAACAAATGGATGATCCATATTATGAAACAATACAGTGGTTCATGAATCCTCCTCCATTATAATATTCTCTTAATGGATGTTTTGGCGACTGCATTCTTAGATGGTTTTTCTGACAGTCCAGTGATTCATGAATCTAACACCAGTATTACAGTTCGAGATCCTCCAACAATCTAGTGATTACAACATCAGGATTATTATCTTTTAAATGACTGTTTAAAACGTACACTTCTAATAATCCAGTATTCTAGTTTTTTTATAAGCACGCTGGCTAATGTGCAATTTAAACACGTTCATAAAGTATATGACACGTTAAAAATCAGGGTTCAATACTCCCATTAAAACCAAACAAATTATATTCTATGTGATGTAATGTTACCTTGCTGTAATCAAATTTATTCGGGTGTTCCAAGGTACTGCTTCTTTATAACTAGCAAATCATAGTTTAGCATACGTATGTATAGCCACACTTTCTGCTGCCTGAGCTCCCCTTTACCAAGAATATTAACTTTAAACCCTAATATAAATTGAGTTTTTATTTCGCCAGTCTTTACACGTATTTGTTAGGCCTCATACTTTCTGCTCGTATTCTATACTAGTACGTACTTCATTGGCTTTTTAAGTGTTAGTGGGCCGTGACTTTGTTGATTACAGCGTTACTATTAACATATGAGAAACACAAAAAAGTAACACAAATTTTCAATGAATCCCACTAATTATTAATGAGGATTTTTATGTTCTAAAAGTAAAATAAGTGTTTTGACACTTCTTTACACTGAGTGTTGTAACACACATAATTATTCAATGTGATGCAATATATAGACCCCACCGGAATTGACCGGTATATACACGAGTCCAAAACTTGAAGGTTAATATAATCAAACTGTGAGAAAGGCTTAAGCCATGTTTAAATGGACTAGATCCTTGTAAAGAGTCCACGAACTTTCTCGTATGGACGTTTAGATCTTTACAAGGTATCTATTTAACTACATTCCTGTGACCGTTCGTATTGATCAACCACACAATATAGAAACGTCATTAGAATAAATATATTTTAAAGATTTAATGTTCATACGAGAAAGTTCCTGGAATATTTACAAGGATTTAGTCCATTTAAACATGGTTCTTTACATCTGTCGTCGTTCGCATCGTAACTGATTTGTTAACATCAGACGATTATGTTATTCATTCACATTCTATCTGATCTCTTATCATCAATCGATGACGTTATTCATTTACATTCTATCTGATCTCTTAGCATCAATCGATGACGTTATTCATTCACATTTTATCTGATCTCTTAGCATCAATCGATGACGTTATTCATTCACATTTTATCTGATCTCTTAGCATCAATCGATGACGTTATTCATTCACATTCTGATCTCTTAGCATCAATCGATGACGTTATTCGTTCACATTCTATCTGATCTCTTAGCATCAATCGATGACGTTATTCATTCACATTTTATCTGATCTCTTAGCATCAATCGATGACGTTATTCATTCACATTCTGATCTCTTAGCATCAATCGATGACGTTATTCGTTCACATTCTATCTGATCTCTTAGCATCAATCGATGACGTTATTCATTCACATTCTATCTGATCTTATAACATCAATCGATGACGTTATTCATTCACATTCTATCTGATCTCTTAGCATCAATCGATGACGTTATTCATTTACATTCTATCTGATCTCTTAGCATCAATCGATGACGTTATTCATTTTCATCAATCGATGACGTTATTCATTCACATTCTATCTGATCTCTTAGCATCAATCGATGACGTTATTCGTTCACATTCTATCTGATCTCTTAGCATCAATCGATGACGTTATTCATTTACATTCTATTTGATCTCTTAGCATCAATCGATGACGTTATTCATTCACATTCTGTTTGATCTCTTAGCATCAATCGATGACGTTATTCATTCACATTCTATTTGATCTCTTAGCATCAATCGATGACGTTATTCATTCACATTTTATTTGATCTCTTAGCATCAATCAATGACGTTATTCATTCACATTCTATCTGATCTCTTAGCATCAATCGATGACGTTATTCATTCACATTCTGATCTCTGAGCATCAATCGATGACGTTATTCATTCACATTCTGATTTGTTAGGATTAGCTGATGACACTATATAGAACAAATATTGATAGAACAACATATATATTTACTCGTCTATTACTAAATCTTTAAGCATTTAAAGGCACGAAATTCTTTTTCTCCATTTCCAGTTTGGAATACTAATTCCACACGCTCAAACGTTTTTACATCTCATTAAACTTTTGATCACAAACAGAAAGAATTAAAGGCTGTAATAGCAGTCTGTATCATCAAATACAAAATCAAAGCAAAAAAAAAAAGGACGTAACGAAACTAGTAAAAATATCGAGGTCAGTTATAGGAGTTTCTCTGCCAGCATATTCTAAACTGTGTA